ACTTCCAGCATCCTTTAATGTGGTTGTTACTTGACCCTCATTTTTGAGTAAGGACAATATCACTGTTTTGCATAACTTCTGCTTTGTCAGCCTTGCAGAGCTGAGCTGGCATACTGCTTGCATTTTGCATGACTTCTGTTTACCGAAGTAACATCCTTTATTTAATATTTTCCAAGGCTGTGCTGTTCTGCTCTACTGTCCTTGGTAACAGTAAAATATTCTGTTCTGCTGTCCTTATTAAGAGAGGATGCAGTTTGGTTCTACTGTCTTTATACAATCAAAAGGCATGGATCAAAGAAGTATAAAGTTGGCCACCATAAGCCTCTGTAGGAACTGGCTGCAGCCCTCRTGCTGTAACAGAAGAAAGAAATTTCTCTTCTACAGACTTTCACAGACCTACTAGGATCATTTTTCCCACTCTCTCTTATGCACAGCCCAAGCAACCTACTTCAGGCCGTCCTATTATTCCACCAAGATGTGACCACAGAAATTACTTTTGCTGCTGCCAGCAATGGGATCACACAGRTAACTTCGCCCCTTACCCTAAAGGTGACAGAACTTCATTTTACCTACACTGCTRAGAAACATTGAACTTGCTGCTTACAAGTGTAGCAATGCTTTTCCTCAAATGTCTGTTATTGAGAAGACATTTCAAATAGGTGCTGTAAGTCTTGAAGAAATTTCAGTGATGGGAGAAATATCACTGTTTATATGTATGTATGAATACATATATGAATATGGTATTGTAGACATACAGTATATATATGAATATTGTATTTACATGTATAAAAGCCAGCAGCTCTGTATACTTAATAACAAGCAAATTATCATTTGAAGGAAATAGAAGAATACTCAGAATGAAGACCCACAAATACCACACAACCAATACATCTGTACTCAAAAGTACAGATTTATTCCTTTCAGGAAGAGGTTGTGCAAGATCCCTATTCATCAACCAAATCAATAAACCATAACTTACTGCAGAAAATACAATCAAGCACCAATAGYAAGGAAAAGTGGTGCAGTGGAAGGTTCTGTTGCTCCAGAACYATACTGCTGGTGACAAAAGTAGGTATTGTATAGGGCTGGGGAAAYGCTTAGATGTATTCAAAACTAAAAYACATTCAGCACTGCATCAGGATTGAGTATTGTTATCATTCATGCTTTCTACTTCCAGTACAATGTATTCATATTTCTTGTAGACAAGGCCTGGGGGGAAGAGAGAATTCAAATGAGATAAGCCACAGTTTGGCTATCTGACTCAGTCTGATTAGACTTTCATATATTCTGGAAGATTTACAAATGGATCRTGTGTCTTTATTTTGAAAACATCCATGTCTACATGACAACCAGCCAATCCAAAGATGCTGCCCTTTCAAAGACACTTGTCCTGAGCATAGGAAGGTGTAAAAAACATTGACAATGCAGTTCAAAATCTTTTCAGCTTCTCTAAAGCAGGAAACATGAGACAGCCTGGAGGCTTTYAAGAATATTAAACACCTATTCTGAACCAAACATTCACCTTTGAATTTTTTTTTTTATCTCCCTCACAACACTATCTGTATTCTTTCAATGTAATCCAAAGTCTTTCTGGAGTGCTCACGTGTCACATAACTTTACATCCCCATCTGAAAAGCTCTGGGATCTTTACATCCATCCTCAAACGCCACAAGGAAGACAGCAAAGACCTTCAACAGCTGARTTCCCTGCTGCCCTCTCACATGTTGGGAGCCTGGCATCAGGATTGCTGCTCTCTAGTTCCTTTTTTTGTCGAGGCCATGGTCACAGCCATGTCAACCTCACTGCTGTGACCACAAAGCTTTGCCTTGCTCTGAACCTTCCTGCTGAACCGTTTATTCTTTGCTTCATTACAATCTTTCCAAGTCTGCCAGGAAATGCTGCCTTGCTCCCACTTTTCTTAATGGTTTCAWATTTTTTGCCATCTGTTGTTTTGGCTCTGGAGATTTGTTCTGGGTACTGAGAGGTACCAAATGGGACACACTGCACCTAACAGTGGATCCCTGGGGTCTGGGGGCAGTGAGGGTTCCCTGGGGTGAGGAGGAAGGCTGGGGTTTGGGGGCAGTGAGGGTTCCCTGGGGGGAGAAGGCTGGGGTTTGCCAGGTACAGCCTCAGCTCTGGACACGGGGACATGAACAGGTAGTATAAGCTAGGCCTGCTTGTGATCATGTCACACTRAAATCTATATTCTTCTGGCTTTGCCTCTTTCATTAAAGTAATTTTGGTATACTGTGTGGATTATTCTGTGTGATGGATTCTGCTAGCTTCTCCTTTCTGTAGCACAAAAACTGGAATAAAAGGATTTTAGTAAGGCTGAGGACATTCTAATAGCCTCCATTTCTTAATTCATCAATTCATTAATTTCCTTAATCCACTTCCTTAATCCACTTCTCTCCACAAATTCAGAATTAAAGATATCTTCTGAAATAATGCACACAAACATTGCATGTATTTTGGACAGCATTCAGCTCCTCAATTAATTTACACACACACTCTGTGACTTCTCAAGCTGAAATCTGGGGATTCACAATTCATATTCTTATAGCACTAACCAGGGTGGCCTAAACAAAAATAGCTTCTATTTTGAGCTCTGTGCTGGACTTTGTGATGCCATCCCCCTCAGCCAGCAGAGCTGTTTCTGCAGYCAGGTGGTAGAACATGATCAGGAAATTCACCTAAGTGGAAACCATTCTGGCAAAGAAACAAACAAGTTTCAGGCCTGACTTTACATAATAGATTATTATGGATTATAATAATATAGATTATAGATTAACAGATGGAATCAACACATCTGATACACCACTGGGAGGTTTTTTTTACATTTTTTACCTGTATAAATGGAAAACAATTTTAATGTAAATACTAATCCTTTTCTAAGAATTGCATATACTATTTATTATTTTCATCAACTTTCAAATTTCTAAGTCAGTCAATAATTCAATAACTTTTGAGAATGTTCTCCCACCTCTGGACTTTGCAATTGTGGTTTTTGTTGTTTAGGACATACTTAGTTTTGTTATTTAAGAAAAAAACTCCATTTCACTTAAACTCATACCCTTTCCCACTGAGGACCATGAGACATTTTGAGGAGCTAATTAAGAGATTGGTGGTGACATTTTAGCAAATCCAATTCACTGCTGGGAGATATTAATTCCCCCTTTTATGATTTTTGGGCTAGACGCAAACAGCCAAGGAAAAAAAGCCTTTTAAAGATAGTTATTTTATAGGTACTTGGGTTTTTAACAATTGATTGGGTAAATACGGCAAAACAGAGAGAATGACAAAAGGAAAAGCTGTAACAACATTGGATCAACACCAAATTTGTCACCTGGCACCAGAAACAGATGCAAACCCCTGTATTGTCACACAGGGCTGAATATTTCTAATAATCAAGTTCTTTTTCCTAGYGTAAATCAGGAGTCCTTTTACAACAGAACAGACACATTTCCATTAMAATACTTCCCGGAATTCCTCAGAAACCTTCCAGGCAACCACACAAACATAGAAAAGATCAGTGGGGAGATGSCTGGAATCTTATTAAGTGATCCTGGAAAATTCCTTATTGAAACAACATTTTACAAATGGACTTCCTCTTCAGCACTGAGTGCTGTACTTAAAATGAAAAAGAGTTTACTGCTAAAGCAATTTTTAAAAGCTGCACACTTCTGGAACAACAAAAAGTGCAAACACCAGAGAAAATGTTTAGTTTAACAAAAAGATGTGTTTTTTTAAAAGAAGATATTTTTATTTTCCTGATTCTTACATTTCAGCATGATACCTTTTTTTCGACTTGCTTGGCWCTTTTCAGCAAACTAAGCTCGAAACGCCTCCCGCTTGTTGAAAGCAGGCGGTGTGTCACAGCCTATCCCTTCAATGGTGATGCAATGGTGTGGGCAGTGACCTTTTCAGCTCAAATCCACTGTGTCCTGCCAGGGCAACGCCGGATTCTTCTTTCAGCTGCTCTTCGCTGTTCTCTGCCCCCCACYGAGACAAAATCACCATCTTTTATTTTCAGCATTCAGGCCCAAGAGCTGGATGGAACTCCCGGTCTCCGGGTGATTTTTGCCCTGTCGCGTAGGTTATTTACGGGGATCCTCGGAACGAGCCAGTTTCTCGATTACCCCTTCCTACAGGTCTAGTGCACACACTAGCACGCTGCTTATAATTCATATCTTGGTTATGATTAAAACTATTAATTACAAATTCACGAGAAAAGCGAGTCAGCGACAGGGAAGGAGGGAAGAGGAAGCAGGGCTGAGCAGCAGCAGCATAGCCCGCTCCCCTCAGCCGCCCTGAGGCGCCTCCCGTGTCGGAAACGCTACGTGACTAATTACGTAATTTCGAACCAGCCAACGCTATTTTGATAAACACGTTTAAACAGGTGGAAAAGTTCTTTATCAGGGTCTGTGTGGA